CCGTGTTTTCCGCCGCCCTGCAGAGGGGGAGGGGGAGGGGGGAAAAAAAAAAAAAAAAAATCAAACCACACACAGTCAAAGTGAGCGAAGCACCAACAACAACCTGCAGAAAACCGCATGGGATCATCAACCAGTGGCCGAGCTCCTCAGGGCACTTTCAAGAGAAACACTGCATGGTTTCCAGGTGAATTGATTAGCTGGTGCATCAGGGATGCTGGCAGTGATATCACACCCCTGGCACTGAATGACAGGGGTCATAATATGCCATGAAGTGTTAGGAAGCAGGTAAATCTCCTGTATCAGATCAATATCCCAGTCTTGCAATCAATCAGCATAGGTCTGGACTAGAACTAAAATCTGAAGACAATTATTTTGCATTGCTCAGCACAGCAAAGAGGCAGCTAGCCCAATTCAGCAGCACCATCACAGTGCAATCACTGAGCAAATCTCAGAGCACATTTAAAATGTGTGAATCTGTATGTCAAGTCCCTGCTCTGCTTATTTGACAAGAGGTGGGCCCTGGGTTTCCCCTGCAGTCTGTCATCCTTGCTAGCACAGAGATATCATATCGCACAGCTGGCCAGGCCCTTGCGGAAAGGCTCAGCCTCTCTCAAAGCACAAGCCATCAGCCAGCTGCATGACACCATACTAGCTGCACGAGCCCTCTGCATGGCACGTCAGCTCCTGAGGATCTGCCCAGCCTGGCCCGTGTCGGCAGCCCCTCAGGATTAGGCCACTGTTTCCATGCTGCACAGTGACAGGCCAAGGCAAGAGGGAGAACAGAGCAAAAAAAGTGGGGGGGGGGGGGGAGGGGGGATTACATGTCTGAAACACTCTGTCGCGCAATGCTCAGGGCTCAGCGCTCCAAGGCCCTCTGCCATCCCCACAAGAGCCCCCCACTGCAGTGATGCCATTTTGGGTGCAAATGTGTGCACACAGATACCCAAGACAGACACACAAGCAGGGACAACTGCCTTATGCCACTCTCATGCAGTAAGGGTCCCCACTTCTCTGCTGCTTGGCAGAACTTTGCTCTCTTTCTCTCAAGGCACCCGCTTCAGTTTGTGTTAGACTGTCTGTGCACACAGGCATTCGTGCTTCATCTTCTTCATCACTTGAAAGAGTTAAACATGCCAAGTACTATGCGGTATCAAAACATAAGAATATGTCTGATTTCTTATTCTGGAGACCCGACTTGCACATACAAATCCCTGATTTGCATATTAATTGTGTGCTTAGCACTCCAACTGCAGGAGCAAGTCCAAGCTCTTAATAACTCTCAGAAATGCAAATGCACAAATCTCGAGTCCATCTAGAGACATACGATAAATTTTCTGTGACATGTGATAGAAAAAAGCAGCAGTGAATGACTGTCTCAAATAGCTCTTTTCACCTCAACCTCTGACGCACAAAATAATTTACAAATAGGTTATGTTAGTAAAATAGATCTAGAGAGTTAGTGAATTCCAATAGGGCTGAATTAATGGGATTTCAATCAATATTATCAAGACCTACAGGAGTTCCATCTTTATTGAACATTTATAAGATTTACTCTTTTTTGAAATGCTCTGCATATATCCGATATTCACACGCTGACAAACGCACAGCCTGCAAATTGCAGTAGCACTCCTTTGCCGTGCGCTTACTTACCTGGTGTGGTATCCCAGGATTATGCTGCAGAATCACAGATGCTAGTAGGCAGGCTATGGTAATATAATTAAAGCATTTGAGAACTCTTTTTGACGCACAGTTCAGCTGGAGTGCAAACCCTAAAGAATTCTTTTGCAAATGAAATCTGAAATGATGGCATTACTGAACTCATCACTGGAAGTAAAAATGATTATATGATTTTAGTAGAAAACGTGCCCAGACATGGCGTCTTCAGAACTGTTCTCCATCAAAGGAATGGAACAAATGCGCTGAAGAGAGACTGGCGTCTCACTGAGCAGCATGAACAAGGCTATAAAGTTTCTTTACGGTAGCTTTCCTCCAAGGTGACCACAGCAATTCCTCAGCCAAAAGTGACTTAACACCTCCCTTGGATGAGATGCCCCACAACGCAGGGGGCCAACGAGGGAAAGATGTACCACCAAGGCTGGAGGACACAGGCAGTGCAGAGATTTGTGATACTCATTCTCTCTAGTAGGTGGATGTCACTGCAAGAGGAATAAACGAATTGGCAGGCAGAGTCCAATCCCGCTGAAGAAACATGCATTTGCATATATGGGGGAGATTTCTAGGGGAAGAGGGCTTGTTTTGTCATTTTCCTGTCACACACCCGCAACCCCAACACTCTGTGCGGAAAGAGGCAGTGCACACTTACAGAGGAGCTCTTTTTCCTTTTGTTGGGGATTCCTCCAAACCGGAACTTCAAGCCTGACATCTTTTTCCCCTTCCCCTTTTTCTTCCCGTCTTTGGAGCCCTTGATTTTCTTCCGCACACCTGGACCTGAAGAAACAGAAGACTTGTTTGGTACTCAGCTGTCCTCAGAATCACCCTGCATCCCAATTGCGGAGTTCACATGAAGGGCGAGAAAGCCGTGGGGACCGCACAGAGCAGGGAGGTGGCTAGCACTGGCCACAGAGCACATCCTTTGGGGCAAAAGGCCAGTGCTGCAAGCCCAGAGCCAGTGCTTGAAAAGAACTGAGAGTCTGGGGGGCAGCTTGTCTTGGGAGAAATGGATCTGCCCAGAAAAGGGACTGCAGCTCACAGCCCACAGGGCTGTAAATACCACAGAATTAGCCTCCTAGGGGTCTGCAAAGGGGAGAGAAGACAGCTCTCTCGTCCCAGTGGCCGCCAAGGAAAGGCAGAAACGCTGCACTAAGCCCATAAAGCGGGAAGGCTGCTGCAAGCTGCGCTCTTGGTTAACTGCCAGCTCTGAGCTGCTTGTTCAAAACCTCTTGAGGCATCAGGAACTGATGACTGCATAATTGGAACAGAAACCTTCCTGAGGAGAGAGACAGTGCAAACAAAAGGAGATCCCTCCCTTTCCCACTACTGGCCAGCTTCTACAGTGATTCGTACAGCCCCTTCTAAATATGGGGAAAACATCAAGAATCTGTCAGGAAAAAGGAAACGTGTTTAGTAAGAGACTCATTTCAATACAAATAAGACTATTTCCATAGGAGCCACTGCAGATTTAGATGTTTATCTCATTTCTTGCGAATCCTCATTTCTTTGAAGAAAATCACCTGGCACCCAACTGCCAGGAAATTGAATCCTTTTTGAAAAAGGACTGCAGCCTTACTGGGAGTGCCTTTCAGCCAATCAACTCCTCACCATCTTAGAGGAGAACCACCAGGCTGCACTGCCAAATGGTGCATATTCATTTGGACAGACCACACCTGCTTGCCAGTATACCTCAGCCCTGGCCTTGCTAACGCATTTTGCTGAACCACGTCTCCGGCCTGGAGATGCTGTGCCATCTTTGCTAGCCTAAAGACACGTCTAGCTTTGCAGGCCCAGCAGAGCACAGCAGATGGAGAGGATATTGCAGGTGAGTGGTGCCTGCCACCACTCAGCCTACTCTTGCTTGGCACTTACCTTTGCCCTCCTTGGTCTTAGCTTTCCTGATGACAGCGGGCAAGGCAGACTGTGTCGGGCTGGCCGCGAGTGGGGGGGCAATAGTGACAGTCTCCACAGCTGCAGCAACTGCCGCTGCTGCTGCCGCTGCCGAGCTGCCCTTGAACGGGTTGTTGGCACTGAACTCCCGCCATTTGGCGCCAAGCACAGTCATCATCTTGGACATAGGGATCTTGGGGTTCTTCTTGGCAATTAGAGGCCTGAAGGGTAGGGGAGAGGGAAAATCATGAATTCACAGAACCCCTTTGCTGCATGCCTGTTCCTGCTCATCACATGCTGTAGAGAGGTACTGCAGCTCAGTAAATGAATCAGTGATTCAACCTGCCTCTTAGCAGCAGGTTGGTGCAGTCCGTTGGTACCAGCTGCAATGAAAAATCAGCAGAAACCAGAATGTTCTTTGAAAAAAAATTACAAAAGGAGAAACACTGAAACTTTCCTCAGAGACTGTTTTTTCCCTGAAATACCTGTTAGGTTTTGAATGGATCACAGTACAAATCAAAAAATTGCTATCGTTACTCATTTTTTTCAAAGAAACTTTTCAAATAAATGCAAATAAAAAGTAGGATTTTGGGGAGCGGGAGAGGAAAGAGAAACATTTCTGCTGTTTTCTAGTCAATCCTACAAATAAAACTGGGTCCTGAATACTGCTTCTAGTCACACAGGGAGAAGCAGCAAGGAGCTCATGATGCATTAGAGTATCAGCTATAAAGTAGTACAGAGAGTTCATTAGAGCCAGAGGCAGTTATTAGTACCATAGCAGCAGCGCAGGTAGGTCACTGTCTCATATGTCCAGTGCGGAAGTGCCCAGGAATCATGCCACGGATGCTAGCACTCACCCCAGGACCAGAAGGCACCTTTTGGGGAGGAAACTACCCTTGCGAGCAGAATTCCCTGTACAACAGCCTGCTGCATCTGAGGGTAGCTCCCCACACCAGGTCCACAGTTGACATTGCCACGTCATAAGCTTTCAGGGGACCAGCAGAATTTCCTTTATAGCTTTACCACCTTGACTGAGCAATGACCAAATCTCAAACACTACACAGGTCCCCAGCCAGACCTTAGTTTCCTACCTGAGAAACTGACTGAAAGCCTTGTAATTAGTCAGAGTATGATAGTCTTCTTCTGAGAAAATGTAATCTACATCATCCAGGCCCCATTCTTCCATTAGCTGGGCTGAGCTCTTGGGCTCCTATAGATTTACAAAGAGACATTATTAACGCAAATGACTGAGGCTCTCCAAATGAGCAGTGCAAGGCTATATCCATTGTATACTCTGTACCAAATGTTCTCCCTAAGCAGCAACACATGGGATTTGTTTCTGCAATTTCAAAGACAGAGCATGCACAAGGGCTTAGTAAACTAATGCTTCATACGCTACCAAGAAGCAAATGAACGTGGCACCTTCCAAATGTTTCCCTAGCCGTGAAATACAGTGCAAAGCCTTTGTGAGTTTCCTATCTCCAAGAAACACAATTTCTGTCTGCACATAAAATAAAAACAGGGAAATACAGCATTTGATTTGCCAGTAAAAAGGCAAGTCTGTGCTTGCGACCCCCTTAGGAGATACCTTCCCTGGCTGGGTTTCTGCTGGAATTACAGATACCTCATTGTTTATAAAATAAAATCCACCTCCACATCAGTGTTGTTACAGTTGCTTCTCTGTTTGCTTTAAATAAATTGAATTAAACAAATAAACCATTACTTTCAATAGCAACTGTATACTAAATGTCTCCCGAGATCAGCACTGACAGAAAATCAGGCAATATGGCCAGAATGAAGGTGGTCAGGGAAGTCTCAAACCTCCACATTTTGTAAAGGAAAAAGCTGTGTGAAAGGGGAGATTGCAGAATATTAACACTTCCCTCTTGAATTCTTTTGTGCACAACTGCTTGATCTTTCATTTTCTGCAAGTTTTGATAACATTGTATATTTCTTTTTTTTCTACTTTTTCCTCTAACTGTAAATTAGTTAGGATTTTGAAATCTCAAAATCCGCCAAACATAATTTTCATTTCCAGCCCAGCCACATTGAAACTAGTGCAGCAGCACGCTGAGTCCACCATGCAGCTCTTGGAGCACATGGAAGCAACAACGTTCCACAGCCTGAAAGATCAAATCACAGAATGCAAACACGGATGAGAGTTTACAACCGTAAGCTCTTCCTCATCAAACCCAGGAAAAGCTTCTCAGGAAACCATCAGTCCACCTTTTCTGACAACAAGCTGCATGGAACCGATCTGCCGCTATCTGTTCTCATGTTCAGAGAACAGATATGATGAATCTCTGTTATTCAAAAGATGTGGGCAGACAATCCGAGCAATTAAGTTGCCTCAGTTTAAGAAGTTACTGTTTGCCAGATTATTCAACGTGTACAGTGCCTGGGATCTCAGCCCATGCCCGCACAATGCAAAACACACTGGCTTAAATCACCAGAAAAGGCCGAGTTAGGACTTGTGAGCGCACATCAACAAGTAACTAAATTGGTGAGCCCACTAGTTAGCACTTTGCTCACGCTGCCGTGGTTTAAACAAATGCAACTTATTTTTAAGTGCAGCCACGAATGGCCAGAAAACACAACTCAGCTCTCTTGGGGGGTCTCACTGAATGTGGTAACTCCAGCACTGGCAAGGATCTAGCCATGCTCCGAGATTCCCATTCTCTAGCACCAGCTCTGGGTAAATGAATCTTTGGTACCTTTAAACCTCCATCCTCATTATCATCCTCCTCTTCATCTTTCTTTTTCCGTTTTGGCTTTTTCTCTTTCTTTTCTTTCAGTTTTTTCTTCTTCTTTTTGTTGGGAGAATAGTCACTTCCTTCACTCTCCGACTTCTCCTCTATCTCCTCTTCATTGTCTGATATTTCATCATTGCTCCCCTAAAACAGAAAAGGATGATGGAGAAAGAGCAAGGCCTGCCCTTCCTCAGCTCCCCTCAAACAAACCTTCTCAGACAGCCAGAGCCAAACTGCTGTCACCAGCCAAATTCAACCACTCCCTCTAGAAAATTCCTGTTGTTCCATTGGAGGTGGTAGGAGGTGACCCAGCATAAAAAAAGCAGATTTTGAAGCTGTGAGAAGCAACTGACCATTGAGGACACACAGAAAGAAATCTTTGTTTTAACTGGAACTGTTGCTTCAGGGAAGTTCTGCAATCTCTGTTCGGCCTTGTGCCTCAAGTCTCCACCTGTAAAATTGAGATATTCTTTTTTACAGGGAGACATTCCGTCTCTCCATTCCAGGAGCACTGCAAACACATCTGATCACGTAGGGTATTCTAGGCCCCAGGAATCACCAGAAAAACAAAATAAGGAGAAGGTAATGCAAAATAGATGAAATTACCTTTCAGAAAAGCTTACCTATACCATGTGTAATCGACCCCTTAAGCTTTTGCCTCGTGACTTGGGCTATAGCCTGTGCATCGAGGGGGACAAGAGAAGCCATGTTTTGCCACGGTCATGCAAATGGAGGCCTCTTCTGCCTCCATATGGTAATGTGCTTCTTTAAAGGTGCCCAGATGCTATAAGACCATAGCACTCACACACCATTCTGATGAGTGGGGTGTAAAATCAAAAAGCCAGAGACAGCAAGCCAAGAGTAGTAAGTGAACGTATATCTTAAAAGCAGCTGTATAGTAAACAAAACAGCAGCTCCTCTGAGAAGCAGCTAATTGCTCTGCTAAAAGATCCTAAATTTTCAGGTGGACAACATTTCAGACTGGCATAACACATAGCAACTTTTGATGTTCTGTTGTGGGTTTGCTTATGGCTTTACATGAATAAAGTAGCAGTCTTATATGCAGTGTGAACAGATAAAAAATAGAGGAAAGAAAAAGAAGACATCTTTAACCATATGCATTTCTTTCAGCTTACCAGACAAGATACTTTGCTAGAGTATGGCTTGGTTGCCGTTTCATTTTTCTGTCAGCTGGGCACTACGTGCTGTAGCAGCACCGTGTGACGACAGGAAAAATTCAGCTGTCACATAATCAAAATAGTCTTAGTCCTAGCGGTCATACAGAGTCTTGAAAGGGGCATGAGAGCAGAATAAGGCTCAAAAGTGAATCAGTCAAGGTTCCTCAAATTCCTAATTCTCACAGCTCTTCCCTTTCAGAGGCAGGCAGCCACAGAAAACCCCTCTTGGTCAGACACAGCTCCCTCCAGAAGAGTTGCATCTTCTGCAGCAAGGTAAGCCAGCCCCTTCAGCAATGCCAGGGCCCTGCTGGATGGCTGACAGACGTGGTCTGCTTCCCCACAGTCAGAAGGGACCAGACTTAGGTGGCTATATCAAGCACAGCAGAGCTGGAGCAGAGATTGGCGGGGCAGAGTTTAGGTTCATTTCTGAGAGAGAGACTGTGACCTGCTGCACAACTCTGACAGCAAACACACTATTACCCTGCTGAAAACCTCCGCCTGCTGGGTGGAGGACTCGGGTCCCGAGAGAGGCTGTGAAAGGAGGCGGGGGGTGCGGCTCGAGGCGCCCGGTCAGCACCGCGGCCAGCGCCCCGGTCAGCACCG